GAACACACACACAGACACACACTTCATCTCACTCTCCTTGTGGCAGGCGCGCTCTCAAAAAAAAATGCGTCTCTCTTCTGTGTATCTTCAGCCGCACGCGCGCGCACATACAAACGCAGACTCTCGTTAACTGTGTGGCGCGCACTCGTTCTAATGTGTCTCTCGTCTGTCTATCTTCCGGCGGACGGCCGCTCACCTACTAACCCGTACTCCCGCTAGCTGTCTTTGCTGTAATATCGTCTATATACTGGTAAGTTAGGCGACGCACGAGCGTTCGTGCATCATCCCACGAGGGCAGGGAAGGACAATTGCACTCTGAAACTGCGCAGGTACACGTAGCTCGTCTCCACAGCTCAGATTCAAAACCATAAAGTCGACCGCTACCGATTTCCGTTTGATGAGCTACCTGTCTATCTGTTATGGTAGCTCATTCGGGCCGCGTACTAAAGGGAGGACTCTCCCGTATGTACAAGGGTCTAATTACTGCCAGCATCAGCAAAAGGATGCCTTGCCACTACCGGTAGGTAGTACGCCCTCTACTACCTTCTTCCCCCGAATACAACGCTCGGTATTATAGCTGTATCTGGAGTCTGGACTGAAAGATACCCCCAATACATACAGCTATATTGACCGTACGTTGTATTCGGGGGAAGAAGGTAGCCACCGTCTGTTTTTCGCTTATTTAATTTTTTACCAAGAGCAAGAAAGCAACCGCCTTGAGATCTACGTCATAATTATTAAGAAAAAAAAAAAAAAGATCTACGTCATAAGAGCGACGGCCATAGTGCGTCAAAGGTCTCATTGCGCGGCAGCAGAATTTGCTCAGTGATTGCATAACGACGCGGCCAGCAATGGCAGCAGCATGTACACGTAGCGGCAAAGCAGTTGGACCCGCATATTATTTCCATTGTCATCATGGCAAGTCGACGTACTTATCTCCTTTTTTTTTTTTTTTTTTTTTCGGTCCTTCGAGGTTTGCCTGGAACTGGCTGAAATATCAGAGATGCTAGGCTCAGGATATCAGATTCACTGTCTAAGGCCATATTCGCACGAGTTCCTCTACGAATCTGACCGCATTTCCGGCCCCGCTTCACTGGCAAAATTTTTACAGTCCCGATGCGCTCAATCAACGAGGAGAGTGACTCAGTCAAACGCAAGAGAGAACAACTGAACTGACGAGGACAGGCAGCTCATTCCGTCTCTTCTTCTCAATAGTCCGTTACGGTAATGGTCGACCAAGCGCAACACAGATTGCACACCTCCCCTTCTCCCCTTCTCCCCTTCTCCCCCCCTCCCCCGCCCCCGCGCCCCCCCCACACAACATCACTCATGCGAAATAGAGCACATCAAACGCAGTGACTGACCAACTGGTCAAGGACTTCTGAAATCATCTATCTCTGTCTATATATAAACAGTCTGTCACAGCTCGTCGTCTTTGTTGCCTACGGTTTACCGGGCAGCTCTCTATGACGAGATATATACGGTCAAAAAGAGCGGCCTATGGTCAAAAAGAGCTGCCTACGGTAAAAAAGAGCTGCCTGCGGTCAAATAGAGCTGCTACGGTAATACCTGTGGGTCAAAAAGAGCTGCCTACGGTAATACCTGTGGGTCAAAAAGAGCTGCCTACGGTAAACCGTAGGCAGAGAGGGAGAAGAGGACAAGTATATACTATACATATATATTCAGCCTCCTGATGAGTCGGTGAAACTCCGACGAAACAGTTTGTCACGGCCCCTCGTTTGTTGTCCTCTTCTCTCTCTCTGCCTACGGTTTACCGGGCAGTTCTGTTTGTGACGATATATATATATGGTCACAAATAGAATATATATATATATATCATCACAAATAGAACTGCCCGGTAAACCGTAGGCAGAGAGAGAGAAGAGGACAACAAACGAGGGGCTATATATATATATATATATATGCCTACGGTTTACCGGGCAGTTCTGTTTGTGACGATATATATATATATCGTCACAAATAGAATATATATATATGCCTACGGTTTACCGGGCAGTTCTGTTTGTGACGATATATATATATATCGTCACAAACAGAACTGCCCGGTAAACCTTAGGCAGAGAGAGAGAAGAGGACAACAAACGAGGGGGGCTGTGACAAAATGTTTCGTGGGAGATTCATCCACCGACTCATCAATCAGTCACGGTAGAGGTTGAACCCTCAACAGTCTGCAGAATCCCCTAACTGATTACACTGTAAGTGATAATCCAGCTTAACCCCGGTTGTGGTTAAGCATCAACGAGTGCCCGACAACTGATACCCCTCTGAGGTGGGCACCAATATATGTGATGGACATCTGCACCGACAGTCGAGAGTAATCTAGAATCTAGAGTCTATATCTAATGTAAAATCTATAATGTAAACTTATATATCGTTATGATAAAAAAAATCCATATTGCCTGGTAAAGCCTCTATATATATGTATGAGGATATGTATAGCATACAATTAAACCACCAGTACTTGGCCCATATGTCGGCCGCGTTGTCGTTAACGCCCCGCAAGTTTCGGAGGCTCGGGGTACCGGACCTGAAAGGCTGACGCCACCAGCCAAAACAATTTTTTTTTTTGTTTCGCTGGCGGGTAGGCGCGAAAAGGCGCGCAGGGCATAGGGCCTCCTTCCACACCACTGCACTTCACTCAGGGCATAGGGCCTCCTTCCACACCACTGCACTTCACTCGAAACTCGAGTGTGCACTTGAGCCGCCGTTCACTGTAAATGTCATTGAAAAATACTTGAAGCTGGCACCGGTCCACTCAACCCTCGAGTGAACAGCTAAGCAGGACAATCTTTAGAAAAAAGAGAATAAATGGGTGAAAAAAAAAACATAGGGGGGTTCTACACGTACCTGAAACCGCCTCGCGCCGCTGGCTTGCACACTTCTCAAGGGCAGCTCAAGTGTCGGCCGAGAGGTCACTTGAGAAATCACCTCGTTTGCCTGGGCCACACTTGAGCCGCCCTTGAGAGTTTCCCACCCATTTGCTAATACCAAAAACGTAATGATGTCCCACCAGTGATTAGCGAAACTCAAGGGCACGGTGGAATGGTGTTGGGCAAGAAACCCTAGAGTATCTAGTGGTGTGGAACGAGCCCCATATTCAGGCTCAGCATAGATAGCTGTGCCAAGCACTGTTGGTTTAAGGAAAATTGTTGCAATACCCCTAAAAGTTTGGGTATTTTGCTAGGTACCCCTAAAACACAGGAGTACGCTGAAATGCCCCAAACTTTCTGCATCTGGCCCCGTCCCGCTCATTGGCAACTTTGCCATATGCCCTGGCCTTGGGGGCTGCAGGGGGCCGTGCATTCTTTCGCCATCTGCAGGGTCCAAGGGCCTAAAATACCTGGGCATATAGACAAGTTTCCCGGGCCCGGTAGGGGTACTTGCACGAGTGGGTATTTCACAAAGAGTCACAACTGTCATAGGGGCATTTCACCATACCCATGCCCTTTAGGGGTATCTGACAAAGTACCGAAGCTTGAAGGGCATTTCAACACACTAAAATTGAAGGGCATTTCAACAAATTTCCCTACAATAAAATGTTGTCATTATTTGACTTCTTTTTTACCGGTGGTGACATAGAAGCCGGGTCAAAAAAGAAGGGCCTGCGGAAAAGAAGGGCCGGGCCAGAAAGGCTTGGGAAAAGGAAGAAGGCCAGCGGTAGAAAGGGCCCGAAAATCTTGGGAACAGAAGGCCTGGGACGGGAACAGAAGAAGCAGGCCAGAAAGGGCGAATGGCAGTCACCATAGATTTTTTATTTTATTTTTTTGATGTCCCGTGCTCATGAAGCCCCTCATCTCTCCCTAAGCTCCATATGTCTCCTGGTGCACCCCCTGTTTTTACCTATCCATAGCACTCTGGCACACACAGGCCATCCACTCCTCTGGTATGCTATACTGCCACCCGCACTGCAGAGTCTACCTCATGGCAGACTTTGTATGTGACGCTCGAACCTCACGCCCTGCACTGTCTTCCGTTCGGAGTGTTTTAAAATGGCGGAAGGGGCCCCAGAAAGACAGCAAGATGGGGTGTGCCAAGGATTTTTGGGGAATTGAGTGTAGGGACACGGACAGAACCGAAATCCCCAGTGCCGGTCCGACTTAGTAAGAAGGGGGAGAGCCCGTCACTGCGCGGGTTTTGAGGGAGAAAAAGGCTCGCGCGGGACGCACGGCGCGGGGAAGTTCAATCCAAAAAGTATCGCTGAACTTCCCATCGAGCCGCCGCTTTTCGTTTCGCATGAAAGGGGGTGGGCACATAATTGGTATCCCGTTTCCGGGTCAAGTTCCGGCGTCGCTCATTACACAACTCTGAATCCGACGTGGAATGCCGTAACCGAGTGGCTCTTTCCTTATACTCATCTTGCTCTCGTACTCGGTAGTGAAAGCCCTTCGATTGGTAACGCTCGAAGCGGCGATAATCGCTGCACAGAGTGTTAGGCCAATGGGGCGCTACTGCCGACCACGAGATGACGATCAGCTCATTAAACGGCAATAGCAACGAATAAGGCGGAAAGTGTGTGTCCACAATAACAAAACCAGCACCGACAAATCCAGAGCATCGGGTTCCAGGAGGGAAGTAGTATCTTCTGCCGATCTTGGCGACGGCTTCTTGTACGTCCCACTCGCATACACGTGTCCTCTTCTCGTTGTACGGGAAGGGGCGTGGCGGGGATACGGGAGGCCGGCGCCTAGTTGGCTTGGGACAATCGGTCGACATGGCAACAACGAGATCCTATCTAGCCTGCAGTCCACGTGTCAATCACAATGGCTCCATGATCTAATCGGA